GGTGAAGGCGAGTACCCTTAAAATATTCGTCTTTAGCAGCTGCGTTTATACACACGCAGACGTACATACACATAGATAGTGACACATACAAATACAAGAGCACAAACAAGCACACATGCACTCTCACGTTTTGCTCAAATACACAAACACACGCAGCAGTCACACACACAAGCACGCAAATGCTTACCTAGGTACTTACATACGTGAGCGTGCATGCACGTAATACAGGCATACACACATACACACAAGCGATAAATAAATTTGGGGCACAAAAAAAGTACCAACACCCGCAAATGAGGAAACTTTTCAAGGTACAGCTAAGCGAAGTGCACGAGTACACTTTACCTAAATCTTGAGTCGCATGTTTGTGAATCAGCAAATTTCCTTATCACCGTTTCTTGTTTGCCGCAATAATGTCAAACATCCAAAGAGATAGCACACATGCGCAGAACTGGTAGCGGTACTGACAGAAGGCTGTGGAGAAATCTCAGCTACATCACTGATAGAATCTCTACATCCATTCTCGAAGCGGTCTCATAATCTTTGTGATGTAAGTCGTAAGATGTATTTCTTCTGCTCGAAAGGAGAATTCTCGTAGAGAAAATTAGTCAAGCAAATCTTACTAGTTTCTTAGTCATTTTTTGCCAGAGTTTCACTTTCGCTTACCAACACTCGCACAGTGCCATAGTCGTGGCACTACCCTGTTCACTTCATTCTTCCGGCGATGAGCCGATCTGTCTGTACGGAAAAGAGGTACTGATGTCGGGCGACTTATCCCGCAGTCTTTCAGCTTTTTTATGGTGCTTGAGTTAAAAATTCGAAAGCCAAGTGCTGGTATTTCCTGCTATTTATCATTAATACTGTTCCTAGGCTGGTCGATTCCCTTGCTAAACTTTTAGTCTTAATCAGAAAGTCTTCCTACAGCAAAAGGCAAACTAATTTCCAGCAAAAAGATTTAATAGCGGAATTGGAATTCTTTTTCTTTTTTGGGCCAATTTTTTCAAATATGCTTTTTTTGACATTCCTCTAAACTCACTTTCGTTTACTACTTATTTCAGTACATTTTTATTATGCGTTTTTTGCAAATACGCAAATGCAAAAACGCATATTGGCGAGAAGCTGCCAGCGCGCTTGTGCGTCTATGTGTTCGCACTTTTTGTCACCTATTTTCAGCTCGGGAATCAGAAATGCCAGAAGGCTGAAAATTTGGAAGTATGGGCCTACATCATGTGCGATCTTTCCGTTTCAATATCATCACCAGCCTACGCCTGAGTGTCATGTACGGACGCCTTAAAAAATATACAAGTTTTTCGGCGGGAAGCAGCCTCGGGAACCAGGACCGATAGAGAACCAATAGCAGGGGTACTTTCTATGTATTTAACTGAGCTAAAAGTTTCAAATTCTGTCCATAGGTGTGCATGGATCTCACACACCTGCAAATGAAAATTTTGTCGTGAAAATTGCTGGATCGGCAATCAGAAGAGCTGGAGGGCTAAAATTTTAAAAGTATATTCCTCGTCCACATACAACTTGAAGATTTCAAATTCAGCCACTTTGTATCATGGTACTCACATACGGGCATGCGAAAATTTTGGCAGGAAAATTGCCAATTCGGAAAACAGAAAAACTGGAGTGCTGAAATTTTCGGGGATGTTTCCTGTCCAAATGCAACTTAAAGATTTCAAATTTGGCCTCCAGGTAAGACACTTAAAAGTTTTGACGAGAAAATTGCTCACTGGACAGCTGGATCATTTTTAAGGAACGACCATTAAACGGAAATTGTTCTTTCTTCTTTATGCAATATTTTCGATGGTTTACGGCAATGAGCGCACTACATAAGCATAAAACAATAACCATTCATGCAGCTGACCACCTGAAGTTTGGTGCAAAACGCATCATCGCGCTGGTAAGCCAGATCTTTCCAATTCAGAATCTTTATGCACTTTTGCATATTTATGCTAATGCAAAGACTTATACTGCTTTATTACTTCCTCTGATAAAATCTGCATTGCTTTATTTAAATCCTATGGTTTTTAGACGGTTTTTGAGCTGCACTAGAAACTGTTCCTTTAAACTTAATTTTTTTGTACGACATTTTGGTATTGTCAACTGCCAAATCATGATAATGAGTATCAAGCTTTTTCATGAAAGGCTTCACCGCTGGTATCGAGCAAAAGAAAAGCAGTTTATTGCTTCTTCCAATTAGTCCTTTCCTCCATCCACTTCTCTTTCTCTACCACCACTTTGCTTCGAAAAATTTGTTCCAAAAACAGTCAAGCCCGCTCGATGCAAAAACCCGAACAGTGGCTTGCGTCTTTATCAACAAAGAAAGCTGACATTTGTTCGAAAAAAGTTTCAGCGATAACGGTTAAACGTGGAAAAAGGATTCATTCAAAATAAACCTAGATTCCCACTTCCTCAATATCACTATATTCGGTAAGACGATGAGTGGATTTGAAATGTGAAAGCTCAAGAGCGACTGCTGGCTGCGATCGAGAGAACGGTGAAACAACTGAAGTTTGTTGCGTCTTACTGCGACGATCTAAACAATCAAACGCTCTGCTAGTCAAATGTATGCTTTAAAGCACAAGTGGGCAACCGGTGGCCCGCGACCAGTAATCAGACTCATGGGGGGAGGGGTGGGGGAGGACGGGAGGGGGGAAATCGGAATGTGGTGCCTAACTAGACAAACGGAGGTTTGTATTCCGCGATGCCTCTGCACTCCCATGAAAATAAAATAAAATTAAAATACGCAAGAGGCTAACAGACGAAATCTGGAAAATATTTTGAAACTCTGTGTCAGTGATATAAATTCAGATTTCAACAATCTTGAGTCAAAAGTTCAAGCCCAGAGCTCACACTAACTTACTGTTACTTATTATGCATTTTTTGCAGCTAAGCAATGCAGAGAACGCATATTGACGGGGGGTTGTCTGTGTGTGCATCTGTCACGCACTTTCATCTCAAGACCTATAAAAGCTGCGGGGCTGAAATTTTTGGGAATTTAATCTACACGCACGTGCCAGCCCAATCCCCAAAATGGGCGCCAACATCCGCGTAGTACTCGCGTACGGGCCCCCCAAAGTTTTTTTGGGGTATGTTCATAACTCGGGGATCTGAGAAGCTAGAACGCTGAAATCTTAGGGCGATGCTTTCCGTCCAAGTAGGTGTTAATGCACTCAAACCCATCCCTGGGTAAAAGTGGTACCTGCGCACGGGCCAGCCAAAATTTTTTTCGGGTAAGTTCATAACTCGAGGATCTGAGAAGCTAGAACGCTGAAATCCTAGGGCAACGTTCCCCGTCCAATTAGGCCCTTGAAAGTTTCTTCCGGGTAAGTTGCTAACTCGGGAACGTGAGAAGCTAGAAGACTGGGATTTTGAAGAGACATTTCCTGACAGTCCTGGCGGCCAGTCCGAAATTCTTTTAACTAGAAGCATCTGCCAGAAAAACCAGTGCCGTTAGCGACAAAAACCTGCGGAGAGCTGTGCAAAAAACGCAACTTCGCACAGGCAGCCCGTGCGTTGGCCAATTATTTTTTTTTTTACTGGATGAACAACCTGATAAGAACTTACCTGTTTTTTCATGCGTTTTTGCATCTTACGCGAATGGAATAATTGGCTTCCGCACGGGCTGCCCGTGCGAAGATGCGTTTTTTACATAGTTAACCTAAGTTTTTGTTGCTACCGGCACCGGCTTTTTTAGCAAATGCTGATAGCTAAACAAATTAAGACTGGCCGCCAGAACTGTTAGAAAATACCCCCTTTAAAATTTCAGCTTTCCAGCTTCCCTGGCTCCTGAGTTAGCAACTTACTGGAAGAAAATTCATGGGCCCGTGCTAGTTTAACACGCATACCCGAGAGTTAGTTTCGAGATGAATGAAACTTAGGTGGACGGGGTATATCTTCTTAAAATTACAGTACTTTAGCTTCTGAGTTACTCGAGTTATGAACTTACCCGAAAAAAATTTTGGCGCGCTCGTACACGGGTGCCACGCGGGTAATGGCGCCAATTTTGGGGACTGGGGCCCGTACTTGCATGTAGATTAAGTTCCCGAAGTTTCAGTCCTGTAGCTTTTGCAGGTCTT